GTGCAATGCACGGGAACAATATTAAATTAACAATATTATAAAGAGACCTCGAGTTTGAGTCACTCAATGGCAGAAGTGGAAACTACTATTGATCCTATTTAAAAAGAGGGAGAAAAAAATAATTATAAATTAAAGAGGAGGATAAACAATACTTAATAATTATAAATTAAAGATTCACGTCAAACAATGTAAAATTATTTTGTATAAGAGAATATAAATTTTACATTATTTTGTATAAGAGAATATAAAATTTGTATGTTTAATATTAAAAACACCTAAAATATTATATTAGTATATGTAAAAGTATTCAAATTTTCTATATTATTTTTGAAAGATATGAAGTCACTTACAGCTTTTCTAAACAATTTTAGAAGGAAAACATATCTAAAAACATTTGAATTTAACATTGTGTAAAAAAAAAAAATAGATTATTTTGTAAAGAAAACATGTCTACAAATATTTAAATTTAATACTCCCTCCTATTTTTTTTTTAAATGTCATTCTAGCTTTATCAACTATTTGTCAAATAAATGTCGTTTTAGATATTTTGTACATATTTTTCCATTATTACCCTCATTTAGCCAATAAATACATTATATCTTTTCATATTCACTCTTCACTTTTTCTCAAAACATTCATATCTATCTTCATTAAATAGGGTTATTATTTACAAAAAAAAGTATTCTTAATTAACGTGTAACTTCTCAAAACGACATATATTAAAAATAGGAGGTAGTATCAATTATGTATATGTGTATATGTATATATATGTATGTATGTATATATAGACGAATATGTAAAACAAATGTCTAAACAATTTGCTTAAAGTATCTAAAATATTATAAGACTAATTTAATAAACATATTAGGTCAGAGGATACCGAATTTATGGCGCTACTTCTATCTAAAAAAATTTGATTACACAAAATTTCAAAATTATTATTATATTTTTTACGTTGTTATCGATGATGTATTGTTAGCTTATAATATTTGTAAAAATATTAGTAATTAGAACGATGAAAATTAGCTTTTTAAAGTAGATAATGAATTTCTAATAGTAATTATGAATTGGTTTCTATTTTATTTTCTTTTCTCTTTTTAATTTTTAATGGTAATTATGAATTGGTTTCTATTTTATTTTATTTTTTTAAAATCTGATAGATAAGTAATGAGATTTTTTAAACTTGTGAGACGTATTCAATGAGATTTTGTAACAAATAAGAAATAAACTCGCGTAGATTTATGCTATGAGATTTTATAAGCTATCAATTATTTTTTAATATGATTTTGTAATGATAGATTTTTATATAATATCAACGCAATCTGTTATTTTGTTAACCTATAAAATAGGAAAATGAACCATCAGAAAAACCAACGCCGCATTTATTCATTAATTAATTTTGACGGGAAATCATAAAAAAGTTATTTTTTTATATAATGATAGATTCATCTGATACAAGCTCAAGAAAATCAAGAAAATACTTGCAATGTCCAATAATTATATATTACTGATCATGAATGAAGGCTCAAGCTCAACAGCTAAGAGTATATTTGAAATTCTCCAGACAAATAGATGATCATCAAGATAAAGAACACCTTTTATTGCTCACAAGTCACAACAACAGAAAAAAAACCAAACAAAAGGCTAAAATGGTAAATAAATAAATAACCAGAGCAAATCCATGAATTTTCATCATCCCATTGTATAGGATGGAGTTGGCAAGTTGATTACAGTGCTCTTCACCTTTGTCATCATGTTGATGCTGTTCGTGATCCCTTGCGACCCGATTCCACTGTCCTTAATGCCCTGTCGAAAAAAAATGTATCGAAGATAATAGAAATTGGTCATTAAAAATGAGGAAAAATTATGATTTTCTATTTTGTATTGTAAAAGGAGTATTTTTTTTTTTTTTTTCACCTGGAAAGGGAAATGATCTGGACCACGAGCTGGAGCCGAGTTGATCTGAACAGTACCGGTCTCCATGGCATCACTGATCAGCATTGCCTTGTTGATATCTTTGGTAAAAACGCAGCCCTGAAAATCGAAAATCGAAAAACGAAGAATCAATAAAACGTTAAGCAAAATCGATGCTATTAAGGATCATTTCACTTGGGGTTGGTGTATTGAAATTGAACAATGCTTGTGATGAATGGAAAAGGGACTGATAGTGGGAGCTTTTAGCACACTTCTGTAGCTTATAGTGCTAGAGACAAACAGTCTCTAATTCAAAACATGATTTTTCAGAAAGTATATACGCTTGAGATACAAAAACAGAACAAATCAAAAGGGCATTCCAAAATACTGAAAAAAAATAAAGAGAGATTTGGGCCTTGCCTGCAGCCCGAAGTTACTAGCATTACAGTGATGAATACCCTCCTCAACCGATCCAATCCTAATGACAGGCAAAACAGGCCCAAATGGCTCCTCCCACGCTATCCTCATATCGGGCCTGACATGATCCAACAGCAGGGGCCGAATGAGGTTTCCATCCCTTTTATACTCCTGACAAAATGTAGCTCCTTTCTGCCGAGCATCCATCACAAGACCCTCAATGAAGTTCGCCGATGACTCCGAAACCACCGGCGTGATGTCACAGTCGTTCTCTGGCGGGCCCACGGTCAACTTCGCCACCCTCGACTTCACCTTCTTCACCAGCTCATCAGCCACCGACTCCATCACAAGCACCACCTTAACCGCCGTGCACCTCTGACCACTGTAATAAAGTTTTAGGTTAAATAAAAAAATAAAAATAAAAAAAAATGCTAAGGTTCCTTATTTGTAATAAAAGCTATAAGGTTTCTTATTTTGTACCTGTAAGAAAATCCACCCTTGATGATGTTAGCTGCCACAAGGTCCAAGTCAGCATCCTCAAGCACGATGCATGCGTCTTTTCCCCCGAGCTCCATCTGCAGAGGGACCATGCCCGCCTTCTTTGAAATCGAAATTCCAGTGTCGCCCCCAGTGAAACTGCATAAACGGTTTTGGTAGTTAGAGAAATAGTGTCAGGGCAGAATGGCTATTATTTCATACTTCCACAAAAAAAGTGGCTTTTTTTTTATATATATTTTGAAAAGCTACATGGCGATTTAGTGATATTTATTACCACATATTAAATAAGAAGAATCCTATGTTATTAAATTTGCTATGAATGACGAGTGACAATTTTTTCACCTAATACAGTTCACACCGGGATGCATTGTCAGAAAGTCGCCGATTTCCGAGCCTTTTCCGGTGATGCAGCTGATGAGGCCTTTTGGAAAACCAGCTAAGTGGAAACAGTGTACCATGTGGAGGCAAGCCACAGCGCCCTGTTTAGGACAAACATAAATATACTTATTTCGGTTTAATCAAACGAATAATATAAGCTAGCTATGAGTGTACAGCATATAAGTACCTGAGTTGGAGGCTTGAGGACAAGAGAGTTCCCGGCAATAAGGGCAGGCGCGATTTTCGAGACAGCTAGGTTGACCGGGTAGTTAAAAGGCGGGATTGCTAAAACAACCCCAAGTGGAATCTGTGAAATTAAAAGTTGAACATAAATGATAAAGTTTGATAATGTTAATGTTAGTTTCTTCATTGTTGTTAAATTTGGACGTTTGGCTACGAAAGGGTTCTCTAATTGCTTTGCCACCATGCATGTTTTTCATCTACGAAAGATACTAAGCCAGAGATAAACCAATTAGTTCATCAGAAGGCATACGTAACAGCTTCATTTGAATAAAATATTTCGGTGTCCGATTCGGGAGCTGAAAAATCTGCTTCATAACCTTCAAAATCTCCGCGAAAATCCAAAACCACAAACATGTATAAAACTAGATACGAGGATTAATCCGTATATATTTGTACCTTGGACGTGAGACAATACTTGGTTCTCTCATTCCCAGGGAAACTATCGGACACCAAGAATGTGCCCTCTCCTAAAAGTCTTACTCCTTCTTCAGCACAATACGAAACCAGATCACCCGACCTCACAACCTGCATTTAAAAACCCCCCACCATAATAACTATCCAAATTTACGAGAGGAACCAAATAAATCAATAAATCATTTCATAAAAAGAACTGAAAAAGAAAAACATAGGAGGAACCTCAGTGACAGCATCTTTTGCGGGCTTCGCAATTTCCTTGACCAAAGCCTCTGCTATGGGAGCTTTGTGCTCTTTAAGTATCGCAGCCGCTTTGTGGAGGAGCTCGGCCCGTTTCCATAGAGGTGTTTTCGCCCATGATTTTTGGGCTGCTTTGGCAATTTCCATTACCTTGTTCACCTCTTCTTGGGTACAAGCTGACGATCAATCACATTCAGATCATTCATTATGAAATTTGTGCGCATTTCGCTTCAACAAATTAAATCTCTTGTTCGCTTTTAGCCAAAAAAAAAATAAATAAAATAAAATTCTCTGTTTACTGTAGTTACCATTCGAAAACTTATTTTCTAGCTAGTAAATTTAGAAATGAGCAAGATTTGACTCGAGTAACAATAAAATTGCAAGGGAAACACGCGCCTTATGTTTTGTTTCGATTTAATTTGATTAAACGATCATGCGCGACTCGACTCGTTCTATGACGAACAAGGTTTAGCGTAGCGATCGGGAGCTTTTCAAGGGAAATTTAGTAGGATTCATTCACTTATCCATCCTTCATTATTACAATTTGCAGGGGAAATTGTGAATCACAAGTAAATAAGCCAAAACAGAGCAATAAATTATATTTTCCCCAATGTAAAAATCATCAAGATCCTCAAACAAATCAAAGGAATTAAAATGACTTTACACACTACAGTCACAATCTCAAGCTGCATACAATTCACAC